TTTTCATCCACGAATCCCGAAGAAAGAAAGTCGGCCCAAGACGGGGTTGTCGGTCTACCCAGTCCGTTACCAGACGCAGGGGTTCTTCGCAGAGCGGGTGGCTGGCGTTTGTAGGTCAAAGCACTGTCGTCGTCGTCGTCATCCTCATCCAGAGTAGAAGAGAAGCCAATATCCTCGAATCGTGACCAGGAGGCGTCGCGCAAGCTTGTAGAGTGCTTTGAGCTTGAAGCTTGTGACTGATTGGCACCAGAAATAGCCTTGAGAACTCGGCGGCATTCGTCGGTCAAAGCCTGCACAGGGTCGTCGTACTCGGAAAACTCTTGTAATGCGCGGTCTGAATCACGATATTGGAAGTGGTTCGCTCTCCGAAGGAGCGCAAAAGGAGTTGGCGAAACGGTATCCACAATCATGACAACTTTGTTTGTGGTTGACATCATAAGAGAAGGTCGTTGAGGAGGATACTCGGTTTCCTGAAGTAGTTTCTGGAGGGATCTGGGAAGCATTGTAATGCCAGTGACGTTTTGCTCCGGTGAGAGGGATCTGAGGAAAGCGAAGAACATATGGCTTGTGGCATCGGCGGCACTAGTTTCTGGATAAGCAATCGCGAGCATCACAAGTCTCAGGGGCACTTACCGAAGCCAAGCATCATAACCTCCTTCAAAACCCTTGTTAGTATCTTTATGTTCGAATGCCCACCATGCTGCCATTCGTGAAAGCTTTCGCCCACCTAGGCCGTTGGACTTTCCATGCGCTGCAACAGCGGCCAGCAGGTCGAAGAAGTCGAAGATAATGCGCTGACGGGCACCATTCTCAACACTGATAGGAATGAACGTTTTGAAAGAGTCTCGGGCCATGTTCGAGTCTATAGCGCAAGTTAGTACAACAAGGAAACCTAAAACGAGAAGCGCATACCAATTTCTCCCACTTTGAACAGTTCATATGCATCCCAACCAACGATGCCCCCCTGAATGCGACTCCAGCACCACTTGGCAACTCCGGAAACCACCTATCTCGATATTAGTTACGATCATGCCCCTCTTTCCGCATATACTAACCATAGGTTCTGTCATGCGAAGTTCCTGTGTCAATTGTTCTCCCCGTAAGTTGGCATGAGATTCAAAGAAATGGCGAATAAAGGAACGAACAGCGCTGGGATCGGAGGTGGGACGGTATGGTAACAAGAGGAAAGGGTGATCGAGACCTGGTATGACATGGCGATCAGCATGCTGTACACACAAAGATACATATCTTGTATTTCATGTAATCAACGACATACCTCGAGCTTTGAGCTCTTCTGTGCAACATCGGATCAGCTCGTGAACTTCTTCAGGCTCAACATATGTGCGTGCCCAGGCGTCTGTCCATTGTGGTTTTTGTGGTAGCTGTTGTGTAGAATCGTTTGCGCCTTTCTTTTTGGACTTGCCATCCTTGCCCTTGAGGCGAGAAAAAAGGCCTGCCATTATCGGCTGTGACTATAGAATGATAGTTCGAAATCGGGAATTAAACGAACGCAGCAGAATCCCATGCGCTGAATATAGGAAAAGTGACGTCGGGTCGAGTCGAAGCAGATCTCAAATAAAGGGGCGGTGATCTTTCAGGAGGTGCCTTAAATAGGGTAGCAGCGAGGTATTCGTGATAATCTCCCCAGCTGAAGTTGTAAAAACCAAGGTTTTTGAAGGGTTGTCGATAAGAGAATCAAAAGTAACGAATCGAGGACCGTGAACCTTTTGGTGAGAAGAGAAGAGAAGAGAATTAGCAGGAATAAAAATGATGACGATGTCGCTTGTTGAAGATTGGATGCTGCTGCACACAGGACAAGGCGAGACGTGTAAGTCAGGGAAGGTGGGCATCGGGCAGTTTTGATGCGCACCTGCGGCAGATGAGCCAAGTTGGTTGGGTGGGCGTACAGATAAAATTAGTAGGGGACCCTTTTTCCCCTCTGCACCTCAGTTATTCAGAGGTTAACACAGAGATTGGCTACTGGGTATCGAAACGAAACAGAGAGAAGAAAGAATAGGAAAAGGAGGGGCTCAAAGAAGCCAGGGTTCAGAGAAAACAGATGAATATGGAAAAATAGAAAGAAAAGTTGAATCATACAAGAGGAGAAGGTAAAGAGGAGAAAAAGCGACTCTCAAGTCTAGATGAGACGACAAAATGAGAATTGTGAGGGTGACAGTGGGATGGGGGGATGTGCTCAGGGGGCGACTGGGATGCGCGACCAGGTTCATGATGGACTGGACTGGACTGGACTAGATGGGATTGGATTGGATGGTACGTACAATGGAAAAAGGAACAAGAGCACTAGGATTGGGAATTGGGTTCCTCGCTGGGATGAGAGGATAGAGAGCATGAACAAGAGCACATGGGGCGGGTAGGGGTTTGGGGGAGGGGGGGGCAATATGGATGGATGTGATGGGCGTGCATAGATTGAGCGAGTTATCATGGAGATGAATTAGTAGTTCACAGATCCAACAATATCTAACAATGTGGCTAAATAGTGTGAGTTGCTTGGTTGATAGTTGAATCAAATCTACAGCCTCTTATTGTGACAACGGTCATGCTGTGTAACACGATATCTTCAGAGACAATACACAACACACAATTGTACGCTGTAACAATGAGGCTGAGAGCCATGACACACAAGTTGCAAAGCAATTCACTGCCCTCAGCCTTGAGTCTCTTGGCCCATTCCAGTCTATGTCAAGGGTCCTTTGGGCAAGAAAAAGAATTCGCCAAGTTTCTTATTCTGAGGATAATCACTTTGCCTACTTCATAAGTTAGCCTGACGATGTCTCTAGACTAACGAGAAAGTCTTCAACCATCTTCTCATTTCCTAACAGCAGCCTTGATTTCTCTCCCGTCCCTCGAACAGAAATTATGAGAGTCACAGAGAGGTACACACCAAACACAACCATTGGATCAGCTAGCACTAGAAGACGGGACTCAGCCGTTGCACAAGGCCAAGGCTTTACTAGACGAGTGGATCTCCACGTTCCTTAAAGTTCTGCTTTTTAATTACCTTGAGCAAGCGGGCTGCCCGTGTAATTAGTTAATTGGATGGCCTCATGACCTTTTATCGCACCAGTTCGCTACGGGCACAGTTTCACCGGTCGATAAATGGCTTGCAGAAACCCTTCAACACAGCTCATAATCGTCAATAGTCTCTGAATATGCAGGTGACTTGAGTTCCTGGCAGCATACATATTCAGTACAAGTTAAGCTTCATCAAACGAGATCCAACTTGGGATGATGGACAGGGGTAATTACCGCCAGTGGCCCCTACAAGCGTGTCATCTTGGCGCTATGGTTGGACGCCAAAGCCTTTAGCTCATCATGTTTCCTGGGCCCAAAGATATGAGCAACCAAACGATACGCATTTTCTCTTATTGCGCTTTAATGCCATCAAGCACTATGGCGGGTGGTTCGCCGCCAACGTTTCGTAATCCCCGTGCCTCTTTTAGAGCTCCATTGCCATCAGAACGAAAGCGCCGCAACCATAACCTCTTCTGTTGCTCGCTTCCCTGCCAATAACAGCGCTGCTATCACAGTCCTCAGCCTAACTCCACGTCATGAGAGGCAATATCTGTCTTTTTCTATTACTCATTCCATATCGAGTCGCCCTCGGCCGATTGAATTGCTTCTTTGCGCTCTAGCTCATGGTTGAGCTGATCTCTCACCTGGGGTATCCCATGTTTGCTAGGAACTTCTCGCTTACAACAGGTTCTGGATTACGAACATGGAAGCTTCTTGGCTCTGAAGAGTCCAAATATAGCTGCCATTCTGACTTCTTTCCTAGCTTCTGGAGCTGCGGCCCAATGGCTGCAGCTGTACCAGTAGCTTGGCCATCCGCGGGGCTCATGGGTGTGAGTTGGCATCGCCAGCGCATCCTCATCCCACCCTCCCCAGGCGAAGCCGCTGCTTGGAAGCATTTTTGAGTGGTTGTCTGGCAAGAGTTTCCGAGATCGACGCAATGAGTTGGCATCTCCTTACGCAAGATGGCGAAAAATAACTTCCATGTTTGACATGCAGATGAATTGTGATGTAATGCACAGTATGGCTCTAGGGCTCTAAGGTGAGGCTCTACTGTCAGTCTGATGTCTCCCAAACTGGAATGTAGATTTTGCAATTTGTCTCAGCTTTATCGAAACCCTCGCTGGCTGTAAACCCCTGGGTTAAATGACCCAATGGTATAAGCCAGTGCAGAGGTTGTTCCCGTTATCTGCCATGGGTCCATGATTCGCCTCATGGCAGCTCTGGAACCCTAGTCGCAAAAGCTCATCTCAGCTTAACATATCCATGAATGCTTTTTCTTCCTTAAATACGCTCATAGGCCACCAATATTTACAAGAATCGGTATATGCCTTGATTGACGCAGGTCCTCGCACAAGAGGGTAGCCTGGAGTGACCTACAATATTTCACGCCAACATATGTAGTCAGTCTCATGCACCTCGGCATCCTTTACCAAACATAGAGACGACAAGGTCGCCTCATTCTTCTCGAAACGAAAACGTATCACCCGCTTCGCCTTCGCCTTCGAAGAAGATACCCAGATGAGATCAGTTCGGCGGGCTGAACAGTGGGGATGCATTAACAATCTCTTAAACACGGACCTTTCTCTTAACCGCGAACATGATACGATAAAAGTGTTGCGCATCTGAGATCAAGGATCTGCCTCAAACCGGAACTTTCTGTCCCTTCCGGCTGCGCCCTGATTCCCGAAACAATCTATCACTTTATGCGTCAGGTTGTGGGGAGTTGCACCAAGTGAGGATCACGTATTGAGCGTCATAATATTCCGAACTCACCCATTCATCCTATAAACCTTTTCCAATATCCAGGTACATAGATTCCCGAGGCTGATCCTACATTGATCCCTGACCCGGAACCGAAAACTTAATAGTTGAAAAGCTGTCCCTACGCTTGCATGCCAAGTACCTTTCCCTTAGTGTTGAACGCCGTCATTACACATACACTCCCGAGTTCGAACAATTTTCAAACACTACTTTTCTTTCTCTTTCTCCTCTTCTTCAGCCAACCGAAGGGCCTCTTCGAGAGCTTCCTCATCTTCGTCGAAAGCATCATTCTCCTTGTCCTCCTCAACCTTCTTCACCACTTCAGGCTTAGTCTTCTCAATGACCTCGGCCTTTTTGTCAGCAGATTTAGCCTCTTTGGCATCGGCTTCCGTCGCTGGAGCTTTCGTGGATGTGCCAGGTCCGAGTGCCCAGTCAATCTCTCCTTCAGGCCCATATCGTGTGACCAGCCAGTCATTGGCTTTTCTGAAGTGACCGCAGTCAAAGAACCCCCTGGAAGCACTGAGAGGGCTAGGGTGGACACTCTGTAGTACAAGATGCTTGACGCGATCGATCTTCTGCACTCGCTTGCCGGCTGGTGTTCCCCAGGCCATGAAAACAACACCCCTTGTTCTCTTTTGCGCCACTAGATCAATGACTCGCTGTGTGAGCTTCTCCCATCCTCGATTAGAGTGCGAGTTGGCTTCGTGGGCTCGAACTGTAAGGCAGGTGTTCAACATGAGAACACCACGATCTGCCCAGGGGGTGAGAAGACCTCCTCGGTTTGGTGGTGGCTCGAAATTAGGATAGTCTTTCTTCAGAGCAATATACATGTTCTTGAGTGAAGGAGGTGCAGGAGTTGGGGGTCGAACGGAGAATGCCAATCCATGAGCCTGGTTGTCGTTATGATAGGGGTCTTGACCAACAATGACAACCTTGACATTGCTGAAAGGGGTATGACGGGACCTATAAGCTATAGGTTAGGAGCTGCCACAGCAGGTAGAAGGATATTTCGTCCTTACCAAGAGTAGATATCGTTCCTAGGTGGGAACACCTTGCGGCCAGAGCTGATTTCTCGATCCAAGAATCGCTTCAAGTCCAGGAACTCCTTTGTGACAAGATCGTCCTTGAGGTGCGCTAGCCAGCTTTCATCAAGAGTATCAATTTCGAGCTGCAAGAGCTCTTTTTGCTCTGGCTTCAAGGAAGCCACCCACTTGGCCTTATCAAACTTGACGGCTGGTGCGGGAGCACCAGCACCAGCACCAGCAGGCTTAGGAGCTGCTCCGAAGAATGAGGCAATGTTGCCATTGGCCTTAGGCTTCTTCGAATCGTTCCCGGTAGAGGCGCCTGCTTTGCGCTTGAGGGTCGACATGGCGATAGCTTGTATGTGGAGACCGATGGTGGGAGGAGGTGGATGCACGATGAGCCCTCGACACGAGGGAGGGACTCTTGCGAGGAGAGCTCGAACGAAACGAATTCTGGGCAATTAACACAAAACAATCCAATTACACAAATACGGTACTCATGAAAGCAACGAGGGAAACCGTGAGTATCGCGAGTATATGCTGATATCTGTGGTAGTACAATGCGTAGAAATGAGAAGAGTATCGCCGTGAGAATTCGGGCTAAAGTGGTGATGCAAGGCCCAGGAGTCATTTAAATGCAAGCGCGTTAAGTAAGACGCGCTAGCTCCCAGCCATTAACGCGGTCCCCGTGACTTTCGCGTTGAGGAGGCTTGGAGAGACACTAACTGCAGGGACCTGAAACTCTGAGTGGTTGGGGCCTAGGATAGCTTCAGCACTAGCAAGCCACGCCGTCAGTGTACCAGGCATCAGGTCCAATAACTCCAAAATGGGCAGTCGCCGAAGCGATATTTGAGTATAATTGCTTCTTTTTGTTGAAAGTGGCTATCAAATAGAGTTTCGGCAGATTACAGCCATTTGAACTGAATTAACGGGGGGTTGCTGAAGTTTGGATCGTCCTTGCGTGCTTATATACAGACAGTATGTTACGCAAACTTATCACCTGTTGTACGATTTCGAATAGATTTAACGGCATCATTAGAAACCGTTCCAACGTGAGTCTGTGAGCCTGCATAAGCCAAACTGTTTGCCGTGCTTCTACTGATTGAACATGATCTTTAAACGCGATTGTGGAATCTCAATAGGTTGGTGCATACGGAGTATATACCTACCTATGTGTACTTAACTAGAGAGCCAATCTGATTTCGTACAGTGCTTACTGGGTGTATAACTTGCACTGAAATCAAGGCAGGTCTAATTGGAGCTCAGCTCTTTTAATTCAAACACAAAAGCCGTTCTCGTTCATCTGTCTGTCACCTGATGCTGAATGAATGTAATAGGGTCGTAGAGCTTGTCGGTCCCTGGCCTAAGATTGCTTAATCATCAGCCATACAGTTCTACGCTTTTCCCTTCTGGGCCGCTGCATTACCTCATGCAAGCTCCGACCCCATCTGGACAGCTTGTAACTCCAACACCGTTGGCCTCACCAAATTATTACTCTGCATTATAGCCATGCTTTATAGCAGAATTGACCTTTCCGGCACATAGCAGCTGCCAACGATGCGTCAATCGATAGTCTGGGTCCTCCGTTAGTCTCCCATTTCGTACCTTGCTGTAACACGCGACAGCTGTCAATTTGGCTTGCTGACTTCTTTATTAGTGCTTTGGCAGGTAACCACAGGACTCGGCACAAATGTCAAACATTATGACGAAACATATAAGGATAAGAACCTTGAAGGAGCTGAACAGAATCAATATATCGCTTCTCCAAAGACCGACGTCGTTGTCGATCAAAGTCAGCCTGCTGGCCCGCAACCTGGTACGACTACTCCCACCACCAACAAGGCGCAAAGACACTGACAGCTTCCAGGCGCGGAACTGGTCGATGCGGCAAGAATAGAACTCACCAAAGCCCCTCAGCCTTTGCATCGCCGAAAGCGAAGACCTTCGGGGCTCGTTGGAACCGCTCTGCGTTACATACTTAAAGCCATTCCATCTGGTCCGGCAACAGCCCCATCGCAGTCCCAAGAGACCACAGTCAACGGCGCTGTCGCAAAAGCGGTTGAATTTCTGGAACAGGCCGCACAGCAAAACAACTCCGATGCTCTCTACTTGCTTGCAGAGATAAACTTCTTCGGCAATTATAGTTACCCAAGGAACTTGGAGGTGGCCTTTAACAACTACCATCAACTTGCAACTGTCTACGGAAATTCAACAGCCCAGTATATGCTGGGAGTCTACTATTCGACCGGGATCGGTAACGTTGTAGAGCGTGACCAAGCCAAGGCGCTCCTCTACTATACCTTTGCCGCTATTCGTGGAAATGCTCGTGCGGAGATGGCAACGGCCTTTAGACATCACGCTGGTGTTGGCACGACGAAGAATTGCGAGGCAGCTGTGAAATATTACAAGCGTGTCGCAGACAAAGCTATAGCTTGGTACCGAGCGGGCCCTCCTGGTGGTCGATCCTGGATCCATCAGTCATGGCGAATTTCTGATGACGACGGAGGTATCTACGGAGAAGGCGCGAGTGCTTCAAGCTCAGGCATGAACGCATTCAAGGCCAGCCCTGGCTCTGATGCGAATGCCGCCATAGACGATGTGATTGAGTACTTGGATCTTATGTCTCAGAAGGGCGATTCGAAGGCCTCGTATAACCTCGGTCGCATATACTATGACGGCCAACGAGGCCTGGAACGAGATGTTGACCTAGCACGTAAGTACTTTGTTCTGGTCGCATTACGTTACTGGAAGAAGGACGGTCGCCTAAGCGAGAACCCGAAGCCTGGAATCGAAAAGATTGCCAGTAAGGCTGCTGGGTATTTGGGTCGGATGTATTTGAGAGGCGACGGCGTTCCTCAGAATTTTGAGCGGGCCAAGGTGTGGTTCGAGCGTGGCATTACACAACACGATGCCCAGTCACAACATGGCCTTGGTTTAATGATGCTTCATGGCTACGGTCAAAAAGAGAACGTGAAGAGGGCTATGGAGCTCTTCAAATCCTCAGCCGATCAGGATTATGCCCCGGCCTTGGTGCAGATGGGTCAACTTTACCTGGACCAGGGTGGCCAGGAAGATGTCAGGATTGCCAACAACTATTTTGAACTGGCCGGTAGGCACGGCAATATTGAAGCCCACTACTACATCGCAGAGATGATCCATCATGGTGTCGGACGAGAGAAGCATTGTCCTGCATCCTTGACGTATTACAAAAGCGTTGCCGAGAAGGCAGAGCCCCTGGTGTCATCATGGGGCGATGCTAACGACGCTTACGAGGCTAGCGATTACGAACTCGCATTCCTTGAGTATCTTCTGGCCGCTGAGCAGGGCTATGAGAAGGCCCAGACCAATGTTGCCTACATGATAGATTCTGCTCAAAATGGGGTTTCCATTTCGTCATTACTTGGACAGCCTCGAGAGAAGAGTGGTCTTCTCAAGAACCCATCTCTTGCTCTTGTTTACTGGACGCGATCTTCCAGACAGTCTAATGTTGACGCATTAGTAAAGATGGGTGATTATTATTACCATGGTATTGGTACTGAAGAAGATATCACAAAAGCTGTCCAGTGCTACACCGGAGCCTCCGACTACTCCCAGAGCGCACAGGCACTGTTCAACCTCGGTTGGATGCACGAAAACGGCATTGGTCTGGTACAAGACTTTCATCTCGCAAAGAGATACTACGATCATGCCCTAGAGGTAAACGATGAGGCATATCTACCAGTCACTTTGAGTCTCCTAAAGCTTCGCCTTCGAAGCGCTTGGAACACGCTGACACATGGACCGATACACTCGATCCAGGATGAGCCCAGTGAGTTTCTCTTGTCAGATACGAATCCTAGGTACATACTTACAAAGCCTCCAGAGCCTAAGAAGGATCGCTCATTCTCCGAGTGGATCGCTAACTTCCTGCGAGAAGACAACCAATACTATGAGGAGGAGCATTACACCGGAGGTGATTTATACGATGGTGCTCTCGGCGATGGACAGGGAACAAATGACGACGATGGTGTTCTAGAAAGCATCCTGATCATTGGGGTCACCTTTTCACTTGTCTTCTTATTATGGTGGAGGCAGCGGCTTCAACAGGCGCATCAACAAGCAGAAGACGCTCGAAGACGAGAGCAAGGCCTCCCCCCGAACCCTCGTCTCGATGGTCCAGGCCCCGACTTTGCTGGCTGGGGGGCCGCTGGAGGTGTAGTTTTGTAGAACCTCAGAAGCAGCGTGGTTATTTATGTCGTTAATAGCATTAGAGCGATGGCGTCTTTGGATTGGTTGTCAGAATATGATAAACTTATAGTTGCAGCCTTGCACACATAAGTGTAACGGTTACTGACATGAAAGTGAAGTTTTTGAGTTTTGCACGACCAGAGGAGTTGAGCGTGCACGATAGTTATCTAATGAGGCCAGAATGTCCGTGTTTACCTCGGTGGCTTCTGGCAATGCAAGAAAAGACGAGATGTTTCAAGTAGCTATGAGGCTGAGCTGATGGCTGCTTGTCATACGCTAATACGGTACGGATGTCGATCGATCCGTCTCACAGTCTACTGAGCATGATTTGTACAGTAATGCTCACTGCTGAGTCTCATTTATGTGCAGGGCTTGTGATTCTTATCATGGCAGAGTCTTATTCTCCTCGTGAAGGATTCTTCACAGCAACCCTCACCTTGAGTAAGCTGAGGGGCTGACTACCAAGACTAGCTAGTAGCTGGTTAGTCGATACCTTATTCAAAGACAATCATCTTATTAACGGAGCAGCGATATACTTGTACATAGGAGACAAAGAGGGTGAGGTGGGTGCATTTCTTGGGCTTTGTGGCTTGTCTTAGGCTCGTAGCCGCTGGGACGTGACAACAACCCTGCCACTGTCAGCCTGTGAAACTTGAGGAGTCGAGCGTAACGTAACTCTGCCGCATAGATCGTCGCGTCTACGCACGATAAAGGCACTGGCAGTGGCTATCGCCCCCTCCTGTCCCCTTTCTTGTCTTGCCTTTGTACACTGGAGCGCCCGCTTAAAACGGGGAAGGGTAAGTCGTATTTGTACGACGGGCCTTTACGTGAAAACCAACCTTCTTCTCCCTTTGGAATTCTTAGCATATCCTCCTAATAAACTCCTTCTAGTCTCTTTCTCGACCCTTCATCATCTTCTTACTCACTGGGGGCAGTTCTTTTTCCATTCAACAAGTGCTGACTTTGACATCCATTCATTTATCCCTGCGATTGGGGGTTGCTTGCGCATTGGATCCTTCAGGCACCTAGCACCTGGCACCTTGGCAACCTACTGTGAACTTTAGTGGAGGAGAGCACTTCCAATCACCTGTACGGACCTCGGAGTACCGTTCAGCGTACCTCGTACTCGGTTGATTTCCATCCATCTCAAAAATCAACAAACACACGCAACAGCCTATTCTAAAGAACGATTTCTTATCGCCAATATGGCGAGTTTCGTGAGGTATGCGCTTGAGCGCAGGGACGATGACACTTCCGAGTACTTCACCGACGACGACGATGTCTATTGGTGGTATAGCAGAGTAAGCATCCATCATTAACTTTCGTACGTTCACGTTGCGCATGCTAACTCGACAACAGGAGGGATATATCGTCAAGTGGACTATCCTCGCCGTGATCGTACTTCTTTTTACACTCTGGATCGTCGGAGGATATTGGCATGCAAAGAAGAGAATCCAAAAGGGCTTACGGCCACTAGCATATCATAGAGTAAGTCGCACCTGTGATATGATACACATCCAAAACACCAATTCTAACCCCTCTGCAGTGTTTTGTTAGTAGGCGCATGATGGCTCAGGTCGATCCCCGTTACGCATATCCTCCTAATGGATACTACTACGCTCCTCCTGGCAACTACGCCCAGCCTGGCGGTTATCCAATGCATAACATGCCTCCTCCGCCAGTCTACGACCCATCACGACCTCCCATGTACGAAGAGCCCCCGAATGCCTCAAAGATCGACCCAGCGCAAGGACAGCAGAGACAGACCGATGGACCGGTAGACTATTATGCTCCTCCAACAGGACCTCCGCCTCCGCGATAAACGATGTTAGGCGCTGGAAAGGTTCGATTGAGAGGCATGCATGTATGGACGGTTGTTTCTTGAGCCATGTGACGGTTCATAAGTCGCTGGGCGGCCACGTCAGAAAGTATGAAATTGAAAGTCAATCAATGAATGTAGTTAGCATAGAAATACAAGCAAATACCGGCGTTCAAGCGCCAGGTTCTCTTTTCCAATTCACAGTGAACAAACTCCAGTCGCCTTGGGTATATATATAAGTGTGTGTATCGGGCGTCACAAGTGCGGTTCCCTTCCTCTAGTCCAAGTCCATCGCGTCTGGGTCGTCGTCTGTACTCGTGGCAATACCAGTACTCAATGTGGCGTCTTGTATCGTTGGGGGCTCCGTCTTACCCTCCCTTTCTAGCCGCTGTAGCTCTCTTGTGCGATTTCTCGACTCGATGATGGCCTTGCGCACACTATCTTTGTCCTCTGGCACCGTCAACGACTTGGGATCACTATACAGCACTACCTGCATGCCGGCTAGTTCTCCCTCGCTGTTGGCTAGTACCGATGGGGGGATGCGATTCGCGCGCAGGTGCTTCTCGATATCTGGTAAGAAGACGAGCTTGCCCGGGTCATCGCTTTCGCTATCGGAGGAGAGCTCGTCATCAATGTTGTAGATGTATACTTTATGTTTCGAATCGTCTAATTGCATGGTCTCATCGGGCACTGGATTCGAAACAGCATTTGAAGAGGTAGGAACTGGAGCAGCAGAAGAAATTGGGGTTGTTGCTGGTTGCTCGACAGGGACGTATAACTTGTTTCCGCTCCGTTCTGTCGGCACGATGGGTGTTAGTTCATGGGCATTGCAAGGATGAGGACGATGTAACGACTAGGAAAACAAGAATAAAACATACCCAGATTAAGGAGACTCAAGCGTTTAGAAAGACGTTCATTATCTTGTGTCTCTGCCTTTCTCTTTCGGCGCAATCTTCTTGTCTTATCGACCCCTTCGGCTACAGCTACTGTAGCTGGGGCGGAAGATGACGGGGATTGTAACATGACCGCAATGGGACGGGTCTCAAGCAGTGGTCAATTCGTAGTCCACCGAGACCTAGTTAAAACGGCGAACTTTTAAACCCTTCAACACCTGGACTATCCGACTGAAGGTCGAATCAGCGGCTCGGAGAAGGACACTGGCAACCACACGTGGCGAGGATGAAAATTTGAAGTCTTGACTTGTCTTTTGCGTGACGGCGACGGGCTTCCTTTTCTTTGGCTAAGGTAGGGATTGGTTTGGTTTGGTTTGTCTGTCCTCTGTCCCTCGAGGCTCGATGTGGGCGTGGATCAATCGGGTGAGTGTCACTAGGGGCCGAAACGGAAACACTGCAGTGAGCTTCAGCGGTTGCGGGCGTTGGAGTCGGCGCTATAGGCCCCGGAGCTTGAGGACGATTGTCGGCGCGGGAGAGCGTGGGCCTTATGTATCCGTCTCGGTCTTGACTCATTCTTGTAGAACTTTCTACCCTCCTCCGCCTGCGCCTGCGCCGCCACAGCAACTCCATCTCCAACTCAGACCCCAGCAACGTCAACTTCTCCTCCACAATCTTCAATCAGAAACCCCCACTACCACCACGACGATTCCTCCACGGCCGACAATCACTGCAGCGCCTGCGCGGAATATCTTCAGGACTGCGACTAACAAGAGATTGCCTTTTTTTATTCTACGTCGGTCTTATTCCAGCGCGACCATGGCCGAGTCAGAGCTCAAGTGGCCCGCTGCGCGCGTGCGCAAGACCTTTCTCGAGTACTTCGAGCAGAGGGGTCACACAATTGGTATGCGATTGCGATAGCGCGGGCACTTCGTCTCACTGCACTAAAATATATTGAAATTATATCCAATTTCTCGACAAGAACAGCCTCAACACCACTATTTACTTGGTTTTTCTCTCCTCTGACTCACAAATCACTAACAAGACTTCTTCTGCTTCAGTCCCCTCTTCATCCGTCGTCCCTCACAATGACCCCACCCTACTCTTCACCAATGCCGGCATGAACCAGTTCAAGCCCATCTTCCTCGGCACCATTGGCAAGACGGATCCTATGGCCGGCCTCAAGGCCGCTGTCGACAGTCAAAAGTGTATCCGTGCTGGTGGCAAGCACAACGATCTCGACGATGTCGGCAAGGATAGCTATCACCACACATTCTTCGAGATGTTGGGTAACTGGTCTTTCGGCGACTACTTCAAGAAGGAGGCTATTTCATATTCCTGGGAACTTTTGACAAAGGTCTATGGTCTGGACCCCGATCGTCTTTACGTCACATACTTCGAGGGTGACGAGAAGTTGAAGCTGGAGCCTGATTTGGAGGCCAAGGAGCTCTGGCTCTCGGTTGGTGTTCCTGAGGATCATATCCTTCCTGGAAACATGAAGGATAACTTCTGGGAGATGGGTGACCAAGGTCCCTGTGGTCCTTGCAGTGAGATCCACTACGACAAGGTCGGTGGAGGCCGCAATGCTGCCAGCCTCGTCAACATGGATGATCCTATGGTTGTTGAGGTTTGGAACAACGTTTTCATGCAGTATGATCGACAAAAGGACGGAAGCCTCAAGTCTCTCCCTGCCAAGCATATCGACACCGGTATGGGCTACGAGCGACTGGTTTCTGCCCTCCAGGATACAGTTTCCAACTATGCCACCGATTGCTTCACCCCTCTCTTCCAGAAGATCCAGGAGGTCACTGGCGCCCGACCCTACGCTGACAAGTATGGCAAGGATGATGCCGATGGCATTGATACCGCCTACCGTGTAGTTGCTGATCACATCCGAACCCTTTCTTTTTCCATCGCTGACGGCGCTGTTCCCAACAATGACGGTCGAGGTTACGTTGTCCGACGTGTACTAAGACGAGGTGTGCGATATGCTCGAAAGTATTTCAACGCCGATATCGGCGCCTTCTTCTCCAAGATTTTGCCTGCACTTGTTGACCAGATGGGCGAGCAATTCCCCGAGCTTGTCAAGAAGCAGCAAGACATTAAGGAGATTCTCGATGAGGAGGAGGTCGCCTTTGCCCGCACTCTAGATCGTGGTGAGGCTCAGTTCGAGAAGTATGCTGCCGAGGCCACTAAGGGCGGCTCCAAGAAGCTCGAGGGTGATGTTGTCTGGCGACTTTATGACACTTTCGGTTTCCCCGTGGACCTTACCCGATTGATGGCTGAAGAGCGAAGCCTCGAGATTGACGATGCTGAGGTCGAGGCTGCTCGAATCAAGGCTCGTGAGGCCAGCAAGGCTGTCAAGGAGTCTGTCCAGACTTTCTCCAAGCTCAATGTGCACCAAATCTCCGAGCTCGAGAAGGATCTTAAGGCTGAGCGAACTAACGATGACGCCAAGTTTGCTCAGGGTGACACCAAGGGTAAGGTCCAGCTCATTTACGACGGCCAATCCTTCCTTAAGTCGACCAAGGATGTACCCGAGAAGACTGCTCTGGGTCTTTTGATCGACAAGACCAACTTCTACGCCGAATCAGGTGGTCAGGTCGCTGATACTGGACGCATCGTCATTGACGATGTTGCCGAGTTCAAGGTTCTTGATGTTCAGAACTATGGCGGCTATATCTTACACAACGGTTATGTCGAGTATGGTACACTATCCTCTGGTGACGAGGTTATCTGCGAGTATGATGAATTGCGCCGATCTCCTATCCGCAACAACCACAGCGGTACTCACATTCTGAACCATTCCTTGCGGGAGGTTCTTGGTGATGATGTCAACCAGAAGGGTTCTTTGGTGGACAACGAGAAGCTCCGTTTCGATTTCTCTCACAAGACTGGCGTCAAGATTGAAGAGCTCAAGAAGATCGAAGACATGTCGAACTCATACATTCGCCGTAAAGACAAGATCTTTTCTAAGGAGGTGGATCTGGAGCTTGCTCGCCAGATTGAGGGCTGCCGTGCTGTCTTTGGCGAGACCTATCCCGATCCTGTGCGTGTTGTCTCCATCGGCAGAGATATCGATGAGATGCTCGCCGATCCCAAGAAGAAGGAATGGCGTCAGTACAGTGTTGAGTTCTGCGGCGGCACCCACGTTGAGCAGACTGGGTTGATTAAGGACCTCATCCTTATTGAGGAGAGTGGTATCGCAAAGGGTATTCGCCGTATCATTGCCTACACTGGTGAGGCTGCTCACCAGGTTCAGCGTGAGGCTGATGAATTCTCAAAGAAGATTGATGCTCTCGACAAGTTGCCATTCGGTCCTGAGAAGGAGGCTCAAGTCAAGGCCGTGTCTGTGGAGCTCAGCCAGCTAACCATCTCGACCTTGACGAAGGACGAGTTCAACAAGCGTTTCCAAAAGATTTCTGCTGCTGTGACTGCTGAGCAGAAGAAGCGCCAGAAGGCCGAGTCCAAGACTGCGCTTGATATCGTCCAGAAGTACTTCGAGGCTAACAAGGATGCCAAGTGGTTCGTTGGTCGCCTGCCTGTCGGTGCCACCGGCAGCAAAGCCCTGCCTGATGTGGTCAAGCACTATCAGGGTAAAGATAAGGAGAAGACTGTTTACCTGTTTGCTGGTAGCAAGGAGGAGGGTGCCGTTGCACATGGTGTTTACGTTGGAACTGTAAGTCTACCCCTAGAATTAGAATTGCATACACTAACTAACTATTTTAGCATCTTGCTTCTCAGGGCGTCACTGCTGAGCAATGGGCTGCCTCCGTGTCGGAGATTATTGGTGGCCGATCGGGCGGCAAGGAGCCTGTACGACAAGGCCAGGGCACTAAGCCTGAGAACATTGACGAAGGTGTTGAGACTGCGACAAAGTGGCTCAACGAGAAGCTGAAGCTGTAAAGTTCGAAGAACAAGGAAGTGTATTTCTACTCTGCTCAATGGGAATTCATGATTGTTCATTCACCTGGGAGTAATGTCGGGGATCTGGTCAGACAAAAGGAAGGATATAGAGCGTTTAAATAGGCATGGTCATTTACCATTGCCAGAAGAGAAATACGAGAATAAAGAACACCATTGATGACATATTGGTTTGATGAGAGGGTATATGCTGTATCTTTTCCCAACCCGGATGTATATCTACATGGCCTTTTTCTTTGGCTTTTGTTACACGGCTAATTTCATACAGTTACAAGAACGCTGGCGTTGCGATAATTTGATATCAAGGGGTTCTCGCCGCTTCGAGTTTCGGTGTCCTCAACATATGCCCACTTGCGCATGAAATCACCATGCGACATAACACGAGTCAACTTGCCCGTGATGGCGCGGTAGATGGCCTCTGTGACGCGGAAATCTGTTGGGAAAAGAATATCGAAGTATCCTTGATGAACCTATGTGATCTTAGTTTACCAATATTCAATGACAGTGGGCTTCATAGCTTACCAAGGGGGTTGTGACGGGCACCATCTTTCTGTGGTACCGTGTCTGAACAACAGGTGCATTCATACCCTTGACAGCTTGAGGGAGCCAGTCAAAGTCAGATGTTACAAGACGGTGGCCTGGGAAGTACTTCTCAAGAACGTCAAAGAACTGCATCAGCCGTGTGGGGATAAATTCTGGATCTGAGAGGTTGGCAGCAAACGGAATCTTGGTGGATAGATATCGTAGAACGGCATTGCTGGGGTACGGTTTAGGATAGTTTCCCCCTGTGGCGGCGTGTCTGACACGGAAGTATCGCGCAGCAAGAGGGTCCAACTCCTGAGAGTAGAATTCGTAAAAGTCGCCGTCACCATCGATTAGCACGTGGCCTTGCAGGGGCTGCTCAGTAGCAACGTCGTAGCGAATACCATCGTGGGAGAAGTTATCGAAGACCTCCATGGCGAGAAAGAAACAAGGCGACGGCACGTATTGGTCCCAGTCGAAGATGGAGCGGTTGATAATCTCGACCTTATCCGCATGGCCTCGAGACGCAGCTGTGGAGAGAAGATGTCTGTTTTGCAGCGCAGCGAGTGTGGAGGAAATCTCGATGATGTTGAACTTTGTGCGAGCGTACACTTGAGGGTCGACTTCTCGGATGTAGTCCAGGATGTTGAGCATGAGCGTTCCACGACCCGCGCCCATTTCGTAGATCAGAAGATCGTGGTAGGGGTATGTGGTGAGACGATAGTTTGTGACGAGATAGCGGGCGATTGCTTCGCCGTAGTATGGGCGAAAGAGCTCGGTAGGCGTATGCCATAGCTGGCGTGTTGGGTTCTCTCCTTCTCGCTCATCAAGAATATCCTCGAATTCGGTGTATCGACGGCCTAGCTCGGCCTGGAACTCAATCTCATCTCGCATTGAGTTGAAGTCGAATGGCTCGCCCGGGCTGAAGATGACGGCTTGTTTGGAGAAGTATCCATATGAGGGATTGTAAAGACTGTCTATAGCTTCGTTATTCTACTATTCCGAGAGGGATACTCGAGTGTCATGCCGTCAATAAAGTCTCTCAGCAGCATCTTGACCTTTCGTGGTCGTTCGGTTCGTTGCTTGAGCTCGTCAATCGATATGTAAGGGTACTCTGCAAACTCGGTAGATCGGTCCTGGGGCAGGATGTTCGTGCGCTGCTGCCATCTACTCTCGTTTTTCTTCATTCCGCGGTCACTAGAGGGTCGTCCCGCCACGTAGAAGCGGCTCTGATGGCTGACGATAGTGGTGGTTCGAAGGCCATTGCGAAGACCGGCGAGGTTTCTGACGCCTTTGCAGCCTGGAGGTCGATGGTGGAAGAGCTGGCGGAAGATTTGCGCCACAATTGGGGAGTCCATGCTGTAGAAACTCCTGTTATATCGTCGACATGTTCGTTCTTGGGAATTTGGTGTTTTGAGGATTGAGATGGTTTACATTGGATGATGTGGGTCTCAGCTGGTCGGGTGTACCTCGGGTTGAGAGTGAGAGCAGAGGAGTTGCCAATTTATACTCGCGTGATCATGTGCGAGTTTTCCTATTATAGATTATGAATGGCTTCATCATTTGGGCTTGATATAATTGCCGTGTGAGGTTAAATTTTGTCCTTGCTATCGAACGCCTCTTCTCGACAAGCTGTCGTAAGTTTGGAGGGGCTTAAAGTGAGGTTATAGCCAAGATGGGTCAGCAAATGTTCTCTTGTAGAATCATTGGTAGAATAGTAATCAAAGGCTTCTCAATAATTCGACCCTAGAGATCATTGATTTATTTTAGAGATTAAAGCATAATTGTATATATAATGGATATCCTGCTATAGAAGTCAAGAGGCAAGAAAACTTAGGACCTCTAGTGTAGGTAGGTAACAAAAAGACTTGGGATAATTTAGCGCAATTTAGCAAAGACCTAAGGACAGTACCTTATACTGACTCTAGATTAGGTGTCTCTGGCACCTGAAGTTTATAGCGCTGGTGTAGTAGACTAAGCTCCACATGACATCACGGACACGAGGGTTCATTAATTCTACATAGCATGTACTCATACCTCAACACCAAGCTTTAGCCAAGATCATTCAAGTTTCAACCGCAACCTCAACTCATCAGAAGCGCATTCAACAATGCAGGCATTCTAGCTCCCCAGTGAATGTCCAACTGATGAGTTCATTGGGTACGCTAGCTAAAGACTTCCAAAAATGGCGCTCAGTGACCATCCAAAAGCCTACGGCACCGCTGCCGTTGTCTTCGCCTTCACAACTGGCATCCTCGTCACTTTAGGATTCAAGGACTTTTACCCAGATCTTGAGCGTCGGTTCCAGCGCAAGAGACGTGCAAACACGGGCGGTGGCCGGAGATCGAGTCTTTTCTGGGGAGACCCTGTTGAACTTCAGGATCATGAGTCTCAACCTTCGTCGCCAATGTCTTATGATGTTGTGAGGAATAGCTTGGTAGATGGTATAGAAGCTACCATCGGTAACACGCCTCTTATAAAGATTCAATCATTATCAAAAGCCACAGGCCGGGTCATCATGGCCAAAGCAGAATTCCTGAATGGCGCTGGAAATTCACCCAAGGATCGTGTTGCACTTAACATGATTCGAGAAGCCGAATCAAAGGGTCTACTAACACCACATAAGGGTGATACGATATATGAAGGCACAGTAGGAAGCACGGGTATCTCACTCGCAACTCTTGCCCGAGCAATGGGCTACCACGCCCATATCTGTATGCCTAGCGATATGGCTCTCGAAAAGTCCGATCTACTCCTCCATCTTGGCGCAACTGTTGAGCGAGTCACTCCCGCACCTATCACAAGCCCCGATCACTTTGTCAACCTGGCTCGGAGGCGTGCGGAAGAACACGCCAGCAAGGCCAAGGATGGCAGCAAAGGTTTCTTCGCAAACCAGTTTGAGTCCGATGCCAACTGGAAAGCACATTTCAATGCAACGGGTCCCGAAATTTGGCGGCAGACGAATGGCCAGCTGGACGCCTTCGTCGCAGGAGCTGGTACAGGAGGAACAGTCTCTGGTGTGGCAAAGTATCTGAAGGAGGAGCAGAAGGCAACGGATATCAAAGTCGTTCTCGCCGACCCCCAGGGCAGTGGTCTCTACAACAAAGTCCGCCACGGCGTTATGTACTCTTCGACAGAACGTGAAGGCACAAGACGTAGGCAGCAGGTTGATACTATGGTCGAAGGCATCGGAATCACACGTCTGACTGAGAACTTCGAAGCGGGCCGCGAACTCATCGACGATGCTGTGCGAGTAACGGACGCGCAAGCCTGTCGCATGGCGCGCTGGCTAGTTGAGCACGACGGTATATTCATCGGCAGCAGTAGCTCTGTCAACTGCGTCGCCGCGGTTGAGGCAGCTATGAGACTTCCAAAGGGGAGTCGTGTTGTTACTATCCTCTGCGACTCTGGAACGAGACATCTGAGCAAGTTCTGGAAGCACATCAAAGAGATGGGTCTGGAAAGCGAAGAGGAGGCGACGAATTTGTTTACTGAGCTAGGGATACCCGGCCATGATGAATGAGGTGCGAACGAACTGAAAAGGATGAGTGGGTTATGAAAATGAAGCTCATGTATATAATAGATAATATCTTCAATCGACTCTCAACTTTCCTATTCAAAGACTTAGAAGCAAGAAGACTTAATATTAGAATCTTGAACCTAAGTAATGAAAATATCTAGGTAATTTAGCCTAAGTTTAGGGGACTCTTTACTAAGTTTATTATAATATCCTCCTTTTGAGTTCTTGCTCCCCGAGGGTCCAAGTTTGATGATACTCCATTTGATCTAGTGTTTCTATCAAATAGATTCTGTCCTCATTTTGTACTGTGATCGCTGTCATAATTCGCCATAGCAATGTGACCATATTCCTCGTCATCTGTAAGATTGGACTCGGGCGTCCAGGGTCTTTGTTGTTGCTGATGAGTATCGTGTGAAGATTCAAAACGTCGAGGAAGAGGACGGTTGGCTTCCTTATCAGCTCCAACTGGCTTGCGGGGGATAGCAGGCATATCTTCATGTTGAGCTTCAGTAGGGCGTCGGGGCAATGGCGGTCCCGCTTCATCATTCGGTCCTGATGATGGCTGTACTTGACTCGCTACAGGCCTTCGGGGCAGCTTTGATGCTTCTTCTTTTCTGTCCTGAGGAGTCGGTCGTTGAGGAAGCGGCGGATTCTCATTGCTGGGCTGTTGTGGTGAATTTCCCTGGGCTGGGGGCTGTGATGGCGACACAAGAGCCGGAGGAGAGATATTTAGTCCATGAAGATCCTTTTCGATTTGCTCTTGGTTCGGCGACTGAGGGCTCTCCTTTCCCTCAACTGTAGTCCCTTCGAAATCGATCAGCTCACCCTCGGCATGACGGTCCTTCATCAAAATCACATCATCCTTTTCGATCTCGGATGTTGTCTTGATTCCAACAAATCCACACTTGTTGAGAATCTCACCAATGAGGTCGGGATATCGGAGGTGTCCACTGACGGAATCACTCAGATCGAGGTTCTGGATACCTTGGACCTCTTGGATATTCTGTAAGCCAGAGACTCCCATGGAGAGACTGTGAGCCCGGTAGACGAATCCGAGAATCATATCGTTCTCTGAATAGACATTGAAGATCTTTCCAGAGACAACAGTACGAAGAGTACGCCAGTGAGGAGGAGCTGAAGGGGCCGGAGCGCCGATGATGACAACTGAATCAATGAGACCAAAAGCGTGCCGCTCAGCAAGGGACTGCAAGCAGGCATGGATCGCTGTAGCACCAAGGGAATAACCAATTAGAGTGACAGGCCTCTCGCCTTGGACTTTGTTGATCAGAGCATCAGCAAGTAGCTGGCCTGCTTTTCGAGATCGGTTGTGCGCATGGCCAAAGGGATTATCAATGTTGGAAGCAGCAGCAAGTACCTGGATAGGCCAAAGAGCCGCAAGCAGGGTGGCAAAGGCAGTGCGCTTTATGATCTCGACCTTGAGCTTCTTCCAGGCAAAAGATTCGACCATACTTCGTAGAGCATGTCCCAAGGCAATGAGAGACTTCATCTCATAGCGCAGAGCGAAGACCTCAGAATCGTCACTAAGAATCCGCCATGGTTTCGTCACGTCATCCTCATCACGAAGCCATCCGTTGATTCCGATTGTAACACGCAGCCGTCGTTCCTGTGCTTGTGCTTGGTCCTGCTCTGCATTAAAGACCTCTCCCCATTCACCCCTGAGAGGGATGAAGCGGAAGTCCTCAACTTCCTTTGCGTACTTGTCCATCATTTCACCCTGCAATGTTAGTCGGGAATGAACAGGATTTCAAAAAGTAACTTACAGTCATCTTTCCTCCATATGCACCGAACAAAGCTCCTACAAGGGCACCATTCATCCAGAAAATACCAAGAAAGCTAGCAACACCTCCCAAGCCCACGCCACCGAGGATACCACCGACAGCTCCAGCGACAAGAGGTGCTGCCAGACCACCAGTGACGCCGATCACAGCTGCACCGGCGACAGAAGCAATCCCGACTTTCCAGAAACGACTGAACTTGTTCTCTTCTCGGCGCTTGGAAGCTTCAGCCTCGGCAGACATGACCTCCTGCTGCTTATCTTGGTCCTTGGAGGATTCGAGAAGAGTCTTGGCGATTTCCATTTCCTCCTTGATGAGGAAAGTCTGGGAAATCTCAAGAGAGGAAGCAAGATAGAGCGCAAGTGCTCGGGTATGAGCGGAATACTTGCCCGTGGAAAGCAGAAGGAGCAGGATACATGATATGGCCTCTCTTCTGTCGGCAGCAGGGATAGTCGTCAGTCTTGTGGGGATAGGATGATATAGAGCCTGAAGAGAGGCAATATCCTCAGACTTGTCTATCTTATTCTCCCCAAAACTGATGAGATTCTCGCCTTCTTCGGGTGTATCGAGCTTCTTCTTTTCAGCCTCCTGTTGATGTTTGCGCCTTTCCTCCTGGATCTTGTGATCATCCTTGACACGAACAATCTCCTCCAACTTGGGGATGAATTCTTTTTTCCACTCCTTCAAATGCTTTATAGCAGCTTTCTGAATACGTAGTGCCTGCGCCGATGGCTTGTTCGGCTGCTGCTGCTGCTGCTGCTGCTGCTGAACATTTGGATCAGAGTCATCATTCCTGGGTGTCGACGACCTATCCTCGTCTCTTGGTGTAGAAGGTCCACTCCCACTTCGAGGGGTTGATAGGACAGGGCCAAGCTCATCGTCGGAAGCTTGAAGTTGATCACTCATATAAGTAGTGATCTCATCAACGAGCTTGAGGAGGGCTTGGCGACGCGCGGGGTTGAGTGTGATGACGATCTGACGAGGATCCGAGCATGTTGGCGCCATTTTGATGATATCGACCCGGACGAAACTTCAGACAGGT